AAAGCTGGGTGTGGTAGCTCATACCTATAACCCCAGCACTTTGGGAGGCTGAGACGGGAAGAATCACTTGAGTCCAGGAGTCTGAGACCAGCCTGGGTAACACAGCAAAACCTCATGTCTACAAAAATGAAAAAACAAAATAGCTGGGCATGGTAATGTGCGCCTGTAGTCCCAGCCACTCAGGATGCTACAGTAGAGGAACACCTGAGCTGTGATCACGTCACTGCATTCTATCCTGGGTGACAGAGTAAGACCCTGACTCAAAAACAAAAACAACAACCAAAAAACAACAACGAAAAAAACATGCCCCAGACTCCATGTTTGTCAACAGCATGATAGTATGGGGGGATCTGTCAGGCTCCATTTTGAACTAGAAGCCATCTACTGTATTCTTCTAAGGAAAGGTCCTAACAGGCATCTACTCCTGGGATCTCAGGAATTTTTGGAAAAACTCAAAATAGAACTCAAAAAAGTTAGGAAATAACCACAATATTTCAGGAATAAGAAGATGATGAAAAAAAGAAAGTATCACAGACAGAATTTCATCAACTGGTTACTAATTCTGAACTCTTGAAATGCATATAAAGAGTATGAGAGAAATCTAATAAATGTCATTTTAAGCTAATAAATTGTATCCTAATAAAAATAAAATGCAATTTGTTTTGAGAGATCATTATTCTACTAATGATTCAAAGTTAATTTGGCCAGAGACAGAATAGTTCATATTGTATAAGTATGAATGGCAAATACTATTTTTTTTTTTTTTTTTGAGTTGGAGTCTCACTCTGTCGCCCAGACTGGAGTGCAGTAGTGCAGTGGCCGCTCCTGGCCACCACAGCCTCGACCTGCTGGGCTCCGGCGATCCTTCTGCCTCAGCCTTCTGAGTAGCCGGAATTACAGGCATGCGCTACCACGCCCGGCTGTTTTTTTGATTTACTGTAGAGATGAAGTCTCGCTGCCCAGGCGGGTCTCAAACCCACGGGGCTCAGGCAATCCACTCACCTCAGCCTCCCAAAGGCACAGGATTACAGGTTGAGCCACCGAGTCCGGCAGCAAATACTATTTGTATAAAATTAGCACAGGTAATTGGATAGTTATATAATTAAAATGTTCATATATTTCGAAATTGAAGCAGAATGTTAAATCACTTCTTTGAAAAAAACGCAAAAGAGATTTTAGACATGCAACTCAAATATCTAATCAATAAAACATTCCCAGGTTTGCCTCATGAAGTTGACATCTTGGAGTTATCTACCATTTTGTTTCTCATATAAATCAGTAATTTTCTTTAAAAATCCTGCATTGGTTTCTTAACAAACAAAACACCGTGTTTTTCCCCCATGGTAACTGATGGGGTAAAATACCTCGATACAGGATAGAAACAGTAATGATCCTTCTGTTTTGATATGCATAAAGTACTTTGCAAACTAGTCCACACTTTCAACCCTGGACTGAGGGGAGACAAGAAGTGTGACAACTGTACTAGACAGAGGATCAGAAGAGAAGACAGAAACCCACAGAGAGCAAAGGGCATTAGAGAACACAGCTGAGTTCTGACTTACCACATTCTCCAAAGGTGCTGCACCAAACACTTTAAAGACAGGGTTGGGTTTGGAGGGTGAGATACAGAGGACAATAGCTTGCTGTCCTACTCGAGTAGTATATTCATCTAAATGTAGCTCGAAGTTTCCTGAATCAGAGAATGAAAAGAGAAAAAAATAGTTTAAAGAAGATAGGAAGGCTGGGCGTGGTGGCTCACACCTGTAATCCTAGTACTTTGAGAGGTGAGACAGGAGCATTTTGCTAGAGCCCAGGAATTTGAGACCAGCCTGGCCAACATAGCGAGACTTCGTCTCTACAAAAACTAAAATTTTGCCGGGCTCGGTGGCTCAGCCTATAATCCCGCGCCTTTGGGAGGCTGAGGTGAGTGGATTGCCTGAGCCCGCGGGTTCGAGACCCGCCTGGGCAGCAAGACCTCATCTCTACAATAAAGCAAAAAATCAGCCGGGCGTGGTAGCGCATGTCTGTAATTCTGGCTACTTGGAAGGCAGAGGCAGAAGGATCGCCAGAGCCCAGCAGGTTGAGGCTGCGGTGGCCGGAAGCGGCCACTGCACTCCAGTCTGGGTGACAGAGTGAGACTCCAACTCAAAAAAAAAACCTAACATTTTAGCTGGCATGTATCTGTAGTCCCAGCTATTCCAGAGGATGAGGCAGGAGGATCACTTAAGTACAGGAATTTGAGGCTCAAGGAGTTTGAGCCCAGGAGACTGAGCCCAGGATTACGAGGCTGCGGTGGGCTGTGATTGTGCCACTGCACTCTAGCCTGGGTGACAGAGTGAGACTCTGACTCAAAAAAAAAAAAAGACCAGAATTACAGTGACAGAGAAACAAATGAAATTTACTTTGACTACCACTTCTTCCAGCATCTCAAAAACTTTTTTAAAAAAGGAAAAAAAAAAGAAATTTACTTTGACTTGGGACAATTTATTTATTCTAGTCAGACATACTTTCTTTTACCTAAAATGTGAAAAAGGGTGAGGCTTCATATCCTATCCAGCAGAAATATGTGCCTACCTTTCTTTAAAGACCAATGACATGCCCATTGATGTAAGGGTCTACTGAAGGTTCTGCCTTGGGACATGGCCATGGCATGATTCTGAGCAAGGCATCATCTCACCAATTATACTTAGAATTAAAAGACTGCCAGGTATGATGGCTCATGCCTATAATCCCAGCACTTTGGGAGGTAAAAGGATTGCCTGAGCCTACAGTATCAAGACCAGCCTGGGCAACTTGCCGAGACCTCATCTCTACAATAAAAATGAAAAAACTTAGCTGGGTTTGGTGGCACATGCCTGCTGTTCCAGCTACTTGGAAGGTTGAGGCGGAAGGATCACCTGAGCATAGCAAGTTGAGGCTGCGGTGGCTGTGAGCATGCCACTGCACTCCGGCCTAGGCAAGAGTGAGACTCCAACTAAAAATTTTAAAAAATAAGATTACACACTGAGATGTCCTCTTACAGAATAGGATTTATTATATCATCTTCATGATTAATGAAGGGGGCTCAAATGACTTGCTTTTACTATCTTTTTTTTTTTTTTTTTGAGTCGAGGTCTGACTCTGTCACCCAGGCTGGAGTGCAGTGGTACAATCATGGCTAATTACAGGCAACCTCCTGGGCTCAGGCAATACTTCCACCTCAGCATCCCAAGTTGCTGGGGCTACAGGTGTGCACTACCATGCCTGGCTAATTTTTTTGTTTTTGTAGAGACAAAGTCTTGCTATGTTGTCTAGACTGGTCTTGAACTCGTAGACTCAAGCAATCCTGCCTCGGCTCCAAAAGTGCTGGAATTATAGGCGTGAACCACAGTGCCCAGTCACTTTTATTATCTTTTACTGAAATAGTCCATTCTTTATATTTGACATGATTTTATCCAAAAATACTAGAGGTATGCCTCATTTTATTATACTTTTAATATTTTGGGCTTCACAGATATTGCACTTTGTTTTTAAAAACAAATTGAAGGTTTGTGGTAATCATGTGTCAAGCAAGTCTATAAGCGCCACTTTTCCAACAGCATAAGCTCATTTCGTGTGTGTCACATTTCAGAAACTCAATATTTCAAACTTTATTATTATTATAACTGTTATGGTGATCAGTGATCTTTGTTTGTTTGGGTTTTTTTGAGTTGGAGTCTCACTCTGTCGCCCAGACTGGAATGCAGTGGCCGTTCCCAGCCACCGCAGCCTCGACTTGCTGGGCCCCGGTGATCCTTCCACCTCAGCCTTCCAAGTAGCTGGAACTACAGGTGCGTGCTACCACACCCGGCTAATTTTTTGATTTATTGTAGAGATGAGGTCTCACCAAGTTGCCCAGGCGGGTCTCGAACCTGCGGACTCAGGCAATCCACTCACCTCAGTCTCCCAACCAAAGCGCGGGATTACAGGCTGAGCCACCGAACCTGGCTGTGACCTTTGTTATTACTGTAATTGTTTGGGTGTGCCAAGTCACACTCATGTTAAGATGGTGAATTTCATCAATAAATGTAGTGACTGTCCTACCGACCGGTTGTTTCTCCATCTCTCAACTTCTCTAAAGAAGTTAGTCCTCCCCATTCTCGAGACAAAATATTGCAATTAGGCCAATTAATCACCCTACAATGGACCCTAAGTGTTTAAGTGAAAGGAAGAGTCCCACATCTCTCACTCTAAACCAAAAGCTAGAAATGATTCAGCTTAGTGTAGAAGGCATGCCAAAAGTTGAAACAGGCCAAAAGCTAGGCTTCTTACATCAAACTTAGCCAGGTTGTGGATATAAAGAAAAAGCCCTTGAAGGAAAAAAAAGTTAAAACACAAATGATAAGAAAGCAGGCCAGGCACGGTGGCTCATGCCTATAATCTCAGCACTTTCAGAGGCAGAGGTGAGAGGACAGCCTGACTCAGGGGTTGAAGACCAGCCTGAGCAAAACGGCAATACCTTGTCTCTACAATAAATAAAAACAAAAAAAGTAGCTGCAGTTCCAGTTACTTGGAAGGTCAAAGCAGAAGGATCGCCTGAGCTCAGTAGGTCAAGGATGCGGTGGCCATGAGCTTGCCACTGCACTCCAGCCTGGGCAACAGAGGGAGACTCCAACTCAAAAAAAAAAACAAGAAAGAAAGAAAGAGAAATACATTGCCATAGACAGTGATTCCTCTGATGGATCTGGGCAAAGTAAACTGAAAATCTTCTGGAAAGAATTAATCATTCTAGATGCTATTAAGAACATTCAGGATTCATGAGAGGAGGTTCAAACGGCAATATCAACCAGAATTTGGACGAGTTTGATTCCAACTCTCATGGATGACTTTCAGGGGTTCAAGTATCTGGTGGAGGAAGTACCTGCAGATGTGATGCAGATAACAAGAGAACAGAAGTGAAGTAGAGCCTGATGGCAGGACAGAACTGTTGCCATCTCATGATAAAATGTGAATGGATGAAGAGCTCTTCCTTACGGTTGAGCAAAGAAAGTCCTTTCCTGAGATGGAAACTACCCCTGGTGAAGATGCTGTGAGCACTGTGGAAATTTCTGAACTTAGTTGATGAAGCAGTGGAGGATTTGACAGCAATGATGCCAATTTTGAAGCAGTTTAAGTGTGGGGAAAATGCTACCCAACAGCATTGCATGCCACAGGGAAATCTTCTGTAAAAGGAAGAGTCAATCAAAGTGGCAAACTGTACTGCTGTCTTATTTTAAGACACTGCCTCAGTCACCCCACCCTTCTGCAACCACCACCCTGATCAATCAGCAGCCATCAGCATTCAGGCAAGAACCTCTAGCAGTAAAAAGATTACGAATCACTAAAGGCACAAATGATCATTAGCAATAAATTATTTTTGGCCAGGCTCGGTGGCTCAGCCTGTAATCTCGCACTTCGGGAGGCCGAGGTGAGTAGATTGCCTGAGCCCACGGGTTCGAGATCCGCCTGGGCAACTTGGCAAGACCTCTTCTCTACAATAAATCAAAAAGTCAGCTGGGCATGGTTTCAGCTACTTGGAAGGCTGAGGCAGAAGGATCATGTGAGCATAGCAAGTTGAGGTCTACTGCACTCCAGCCTGGGCAACAGAGTGAGACTCCAACTCAAAAAAAACAAAAACAAAACAAGCAAACAAACAAAAAAATCCACTTTTAAAATACAGCAGCGCCAGGCTAGGTGGCTCAGCCTGTAATCCCGCGTCTTTGGGAGGCTGAGGTGAGTGGATTGCCTGAGCCAGCGGGTTCGAGACCCGCCTGGGCAGCAAGCCCTCATCTCTACAATAAATCAAAAAATCAGCCGGGCATGGTAGCGCGTGCCTGTAATTCCGGCTACTCGGAAGGCTGAGGTGGAAGGATCGCCGGAGCCCAGCAGGTCGTGGCTGCGGTGGGCGGGAGCAGCCACTGCACTCCAGTCTGGGCGACAGAGTGAGACTCCAACTCAAAAATAAAAAATAAAAAGTAAAAATAAAAAAATAATAATAATAAAATAAAATACAGCAGCAATGGGACAGGCATAGTGGCTCACTCCTAGAATCCCAGCACTTTGGGAGGCTGAGATGGGAGGACTACCTGAGCCCAGAGGCTCAATTCCAGCCTGGGTTACTTGGTAAAACCTCATCTCTACAATAAATCAAAAAATTAGCCAGGCATAGTGGTGCACACCTGTAGTTTCAGCTACTTGGAAGGCTAAGGCGGAAAGCTCACCTGAGTCCAGCAGGTCCAGGCTGCGGTAGCATGAGCATGCCACTGCACTCCAACCTGGGTGACAGAGTGAGACTTTGACTTGAAAAATTAATTAATTAATTGAATGATTTAATTAATTAACTAAAATAAAATATGGCAACAATAGATGAAACAAAAGCACTGTCTTTGTTCCTCTGAAACCATGGGAGATTATTTTAAAGTTTTACATTGAAGAACAGTCTACTCCTCCAAGAGACTGATGAGAAAAATTGCACATACCAAACAAGAAATCTGGTGGAATTCCCTGAAGGAAAGTTCTGTGATCACTGTCTGATTCTCTCCCCCATTCTCTTTGATCAAGGCACTCCAAACCTCTCACCCTTCCCACTCCTTTGAAAACGCTCTTGTCAAGTTCAGTCATGACTTTGATGGTCAGGAGGCATCTTATTCAGCCTATCAGCAGCATCTGACAGCTGCTCACACATTCCCCTTCTTGAAACACTTTTTGCACCTGGTTTCCAGGAGACCATTCTCTAGGTTCTTCTCCTGACTCTTGGTTGGTCCAAGACTTCTTTGCTGGCTCTTTTCATTTCCCCAACCTCTAAGAGGCTTTTCAGGCCTCAGCCCATGCTCACTTCTTAAGTGACCTCCATGCAGGCCCACAGTTCTAAATACTACCTATATGCTGCTAGTGTCTTCAGCTAAGTCCTCTCCTTGAATTCCCAACTCACATGTCCAACCATTGATTCTGTATCTCCACATAATGGTCAGAAGGCATCGCAAACTAAACAGTCTAAAACCACATCCCTGATTCTGCCCTGTCCTCCCTCACACCCTTACCTGTTCCTCCTTCTTAAATGTCATCTCAATCCTTCAAGTAATCGGACCCCAAATCACTCTTCATTCACTTTTCTCTCTTACACCCCACATTTACTACATCAGTGAATCAGGCTGAGTGACCTTTCAACTACATCCAGAGCCTGACCCATCTCGCCACCTCTGCTGCCACCACCCAGAATGTAAGACACTATCGTTTCTGGCCCAGGTTACTACAATAACCTCCTAACCGGTCTGCCTACTTCCATTCTTGTACCCCGGTCTATCAGCAACACAGTAGCCTGAGTGATTCTTTAAAAACACAAAGTGGGTTATACCATAGCTGCAGTCGAAATTCTTCACTGACTTCCCACCTTGCTCAGAGTAAGAGTCAGGTCCTGACACCACCTGTAAGATCGTGCATGTGGCACTCCTCTGACACTCAAACCCTATTTGCTCTCCTTCTCTCCTGGCTGTTCCTCCAACACAACACCACATTCCTACCTCAGAGTCTTTGCTCTTGAGTCTCCCTCTACCTGAAGTGAGCTTCCTCAAGACTCAGCATGGTCACTCTTTTATTTTTTTTTTTGAGTTGGAGTCTCACTCTGTCACTCAGACTGGAGTGCAGTGGCCACTTCCGGCCACCGCAGCCTCAACCTGCTGGGTTCCAGTGATCCTTCTGCCTCAGCATTCCAAGTAGCTGTTATATAGGCGCGTGCTACCATGCCCGGCTAATTTTTGATTTATTGTAGAGATGAGGTCTCGCCAAGTTGCCCAGGTGGGTCTCGAACCCGCAGGCTCAGGCAATCCACTCACCTCAGCCTCCCGAAGTGCTGGGATTACAGGCTGAGCCACCGAGCCTAGCCCAGCATGGTCACTCTTTACGCTTCTTCAGGTCTCTGTTCAAAGGCTGCCTTATCCAAAAGGACTGCCCAGCCCAGCAGCCCGAAAAAATAAGCAGCTACGTCCCTCTACCTCCTGGCTTTCTGTTTTCCTTATGCTGTGTTGTTGCTTTTTCCCATAGTACTTACCATCATCTGACACATTACACAGTTATTTTCTTTCCCCTCTACCAGAATATAAGCTCTTGAAGGCAATTTATTTTGTTCACTGTTCTATACCTAGTTCCTAGAACAATGCCTGGCACATTTTTTTTGAATTAATGTGATAATATATATCTGTTAAATCGTATTTCTAGGCTCTCATTTACTTAATTGTGTAAGACTACTTTTAAATCTAAATTTATCCTAAAGGAATCCAGCCTGGTGTCTTAGGTGAACCTAGTGAAGTACGTTCTACCTCTACCATCCACATATGAAGTATTTGAGGAACAGTAACAACATGAAGAAAGGAGCCTCACCGGAGCAAACGTGTTTGCTGCCTCTTCCGGATAGATGGATTAGACTCAAACACATGAGGCCGTTTCCGTTTTTTTCCTGTTGCCACAGCAGCCGCCGCCGCCATTCCCACAGGACCTGAAATAATCATGTATGTGCTGAGATCAGGTAGAAGTCTGTACAGGACAGAAAACAATTAATGGTACAAAAAGGCAGCGTTTCTTTCCTAATAATTGCAGCATTGAAAGGAAAAGCTTGCCAAAACTGAAAAAAATTACAGATTTCAATATTCATCTCCATCTCCATACCCCTACTTCCATTACTCCAAGACACTGCCCAGTTAAAGCAGCTGGAGGTCACCACACACACTTGGGACTCCAGCAACAGCACCTACAAGAGGGGATCTGGAAGAATAGCATCCTAACTGGAAAACTTATCTTATGAATCTGGGAAATGTGCCAAAAAATGGAGATGTTCAGCACAAGATCAAGTTGGTGAAAACATCCTGGCAGAAAAGAGATAAAAACTTTTCCACTCTGAAAAAATATTAACAAATGTTGGTCTGGCTTTCCCTGAAACTGATGCGTAATGTTTCCTTTTTGAAAGGAAGATGAAGGGTAGGCCTTGAGGAACTACTGAGTCCTGGCTGGGGTCCCAACATATCCAAGACAATCTTTGCATTTCTGTATTAAAAGGACGTTTGACCTTTATCTCTGTGTGTGAATCTCATGTAAAGGCTTAAGCAAAAGTGAAATTTACCTGTTCACATTTATAATGGCGTACATGTCAAAGTGGTGCAAATAAAATAAACCCCTTGTGAGCCTCCGGGAGTTTCTCTACATGTGGATTAATAGGATCAGTCTGACCTAAACAAACCCATTAAGAGCCCAAAGCAAGTAAAAAACAGACTGCTTTCTTCCTTCCTTTCCATCATCAACAGCTAGTAGGGAAAAAAACTTATTGCTGCATTTCCCCCAATATTTTATTTTATTTTAAAAGTATCCCCTCTTTTTCTTTGAGTTGGAGTCTCACTATTGTCACCCAGTCTGGAATGCAGTGGCATGCTCACGGCCACCACTATTGTCACCCAGGCTGGAATGCAGTGGCACACTCATGGCCATTGCAGCCTAGACCTGCTGGGCTTAGACGATGCTTCTGCCTCAGCCTTCCAAGTAGCTAAAACTACAGATGCACGCCACCATGCCCAGCTAGTTTTTTGTGATTTCTTGTAGAGAGGAGGTCTCACCAAGTTGCCCAGGCTGGTCTCGAACCCCCGGGCTCAGGAAATCTTCTCGCCTCAGTTTTCCAAAGTGCTGGGATTACAGGCTGAGCCACCGCACCAGGCCAAAAGTATCTCCCTCCAACAAAACTTGTCCTGCAGGCCAGGCGCGGTACAGGCTGGGCTCTGATTCTCTCACTCCTCGCCACACAGCCCCTGGCCCTGTGTGTTCTGATTCATGACTGCCTCTTCCTTCATTCTCTCTCATGACTCACAGGCGCCACCACAATGGGGTCCTTCCCACTTCCCAACTGCAAGGTCTTGCTTTTGATACTTTCTATCTGAAAGGCTCTTTCCTTTGGTGACACCTAATTCCCTGTCCATCACAACTTGCCTCCTTAGAGAAGCCTTTCCAGACCTCACAATCCAAAGAAGCAGCCTGCTACCCTTTCCTCTATTACCTAGCCTCACTATTTCCTTCAGAGTATTCAATGCTTTCAAAGTTGTTTTGCTTTACTATTTATACCCCCCGCCAGTAAGTGCCTCAGACACAAACTCTTGCCTGTCTTGTTTGTAATATCTACATACAGTAATATATAGTACTGTACATTATATTTCCTCAATAATTATTGAATGACCAAATGGTAAATCATTTCTACCAGCTGGGCTTCAGTCTCCACATCTACTGTATGAAGAGGTTAGACCAAAGCCCTTTCCTAATTTTAGCACTGTGACAATGAAGTACAGTAACAGCAAAATCATATGTCAAAAGCACCTTCCTTCATAGGAAAGAAGTCCACCCAAATTCATTACATTATGATGCCCTCTTCTGGGAAGTAAAAGCATTTCACAAACTGTATTTCACAAATCATTCATGTGTTTTGACACCAAGACTTACTTTTTAAATTCACCACTCCAGAAACACACAGTGGATAATAACTGGCAATAAAAAGGTTTTGTATCTGTCTTTCTCCCCTTAAATACAGTATACACTTAAAAAATGTAGTATTGGCCAGGCATATACCTATAATATGGCTCGTACCTATAATCCTAGCACTTTGGGAGGCCAAGGTGAGAGAAATGCCTGAGCACACGGGTTCGAGACCAGCCTGGGCAACTTGGTGAGACCTCATCTCTACAATAAATCAAAAAATTAGCTGGGTGTGGTAGCACGCACTTGCAGTTTTGGCTACTTGGAAGGCTGAGGCTGAAGGATCACCTAAGTCCAGCAGGTCGAGGATGTGGTGGCCATGAGCATGCCACTGCACTCCAACCTGGGCGACAGGGTGAGAAGTCCAACTCAAAAATAGATAGATAGATAGATAGATAGATAGATAGATAGATAGATAGATAGATAGATAAAATGCAGTGTTTTGGCCCACTCCTGATAATTGATTTTTTTGCCCAGGTTTTCCTAATTATCTTTTTTTTTTTTTTGAGTCGGAGGAGTGTCACTCTGTCAGCCAGGCTGGAGTACAGTGGCATATTCATGGCTACAGCAGCTCAACCTGCTGGGCTCAGGCAATACTTCCACCTCAGCCTTCCATGTAGCTGTAACTACAGGCGGGCGCCACCATATCCACCTAATTTTTTTATTTATTATGGAGACAAGGTCTCACCATGTTGCCCAGGTTGGTCTCAAACCCACGGGCTCTGGTAATCTTGTCTTGGTCTCCTAAAGTGCTGGGATTACAGCCGTGAGCTACAGCACCCGGTCCCTAATTATCTTCTGAGATCAATATTCCATGTCCAATACTAGAACCATCCACACATGGTTTACAAGAATTCTCCTCACCATGTGCTAAATAGACAATATAAATAGCAAAGAGAATGATATAAAATAAAGTCCAGCTTTAAGTAATTTAGTAGCCCAGAAAATCTTAGAACCTTAAATTGGATTAAGATGATCCAGGATTGCTAGTGGCCTCAGGCATCTGGCAGAAGCAATAAAAAACCCTCTCTAGAGGAGGATAACATTATCCTAGACCCCAAGCTATTTCTAAAAATCCTTTTCCAAACACATCATCCAGGATGCATTCAAATATAATCAGTATGTGAAGAGAACGGCCAACATGAACAAGAAACGGCACTAACAACATATAAAAGAAACAGACCCACAAGACTCCACAGAGAACTGTAAAAACATAATTTTAAAGAAAAAATTTTCCCTATAACTGGAAACCATTATAGTGCAAATTTGGGAGGGGGAAAAAATAACACTAGAAATTCTAAAACCAGGGGGAGGAAAGCCCACCAACCAAAAATATGAGCAATTGTCAAAATTAGTAAGTCAATGGACAGACTTAACAGCACCTTAGACACAGCTACAGAGGAAAATTAGTAAGTTGAAAGACAGAAGAGACTACATAGAATAAAGCATTAAGAGATAAAAAGATTGGCACATACAGAACAGAAGGCAAGAGACACAAAGATCTCAGTGAGGAAAACTAACATATTTAATTAGAGTCACAGGATGAAAGAAAAGGAATGTAGCAGAAGCAAAATCTGAAGCAAAATCTAGTGCCTAAGATTTCCCAGAATTGATGAAAGACATCATTCCACAGATTCAGGATGTACAAAGAATCCTAAGCAGAATAATGAGAAGAAATCAGTGCCAGATAGATCATAAAAACAGAAAATCTTAAAAGCACTCGGGGGAGGGAGAGGGGCCTGTGTAGCAGATAGCCTTCAAAGGAGTAGCTGCTAGAATGAAACAGGCAGGCTGGGCATGGTGGCTCACACCTATAATCCTAGCACTTTGGGAGTGGAGGCAAGAGGACTGCCTGACTCAGGTTTGAGACTAGCCTGAGCAACACGGTGAGACCTCACTTCTACAATAAATTAAAAAATTAGCCAGACGTGGTGGTACATGACTGTGGTTCCAGCTACTTGGAAGGCTGAGGCGGAAGGATCACCTGAGCTTCGCAGGTTGAGTCTGTGGTGGCTCTGATCATGCCACTGCACTTCAGCTTGGGCAACAGAGTGGGACAGTGACTCAAAAAAAAAATGAAACAGGCAACTTTTCAACAGCAACAATGGAATCCAGAAGAGAGTGGAACAGTACCTTTAAGGGGGCAGGGGGGAGAAAATAACGGCCCACCAAGAATTCTATATTCAGTAAAAACGTTAAGGTTGAAAGTTACATAAAAACATTGTCAGCCAGGTGTGGTAGCTCACACCAATCATCCCAGCACTTTGTGAGGCAGAGGTGAGAGAACTGCCTGAGTCCAGGGGTTTGAGACCAGTCTGTGGAATCTTGACGACACCTTGTCTCCACAATAAAAATTTTAAAAAACTAGCAAGGCACGTTGGCACATCCCTGTGGTTCCAGTTACTTGGTAGGCTGAGGTGGAAAGATTACCTGAACCCAACAGGTGGGGGGGGGGCCGGCGCAGCACGCCTGTGAGCGTGCCACTGCACTAGTCTGGGTGATAGAGTGACACTCTGACTCAAAAAAAAAAAATTCTTAGATAAGCAAAAACAGAATTTGCTACTAGTAGATCCATGCTAAAGGAAATGCTAATGGTGTCTTTAGGCAGAAGAAAATTGAGTTCAGAAGACAAGTTGGAGAGTCAAGAAAAAAACGAACATTAAGCACAAAACAAAAATAATGTCTTGTGGGGTTTACAATACAGTCATCCACCTATATCACATGGGCTTGGTTCTAGGACTCCCATGCCCCTTCCAGCTTACAGCCAAGGGTACCAAAATCCAAATATACTCAAGTACCTGCTATAAAATGATGAAATATTATCATATAACCTATGCATATCCTCCTATATTTTAAATCATTTTAGATTACTTGTAAGATCTAATACAGTGTAAAGGTTATGTAAATAGTTCTTATACTGACTGGCTTTTATTTGTATTATTTTTTTCATTGTTGTCTTATTATTTCTTATTGTTTTTTTCTGAATACTTTTGATCCAAGATTGGTTGAATCTGCAGATACAAAACCTGCAGATACACAGGGCCAACTCTATATAAAAAATTAATACAAAAGACAACAACAGCATATAGGTCAGGAGCAGGGGATGAAATTCAAGTGCTCTAAGAAACTTGCATTATTCCTGTAGAGAATGAAAGTATCAAATGTCTAGGACTTTGATAAGTGAAAGATGTATGTTATAACTTCCATAACTGCCAAGCAAACAAGGGAAAAAAGAGAAATAAATAAAAACGTTGCAATCACTCCATAAGAAAACACAAACGAAGAGAAAAATGAACAAAGCAGGTGGAGCAAAGAGAAAGTATATAGCAAAGATGGTAAATTTACATATATCAGTCATTTTGCTTAATGTAAATGGGATAAATGCTTCAGTTTTGAGCCAAGAGACTGTCAGAATGGTTGGAAAACAAAATCAAAGCCATAACACTGATAGTAAACGATTCTAGAACTCAAGTCTCAGTATAATAGACTCAAGTTGTAAATGAAAAGCTTTAAAAGGGCTGGGCTCAGTGCCTCAGCCTGTAATCTCAGCACTTTGGGAGGCCGAGGCGAGTGGATTGCCTGAGCCCGCAGGTTCGAGACCAGCCCGGGCAACTTGGCAAGACCTCGTCTCTACAATAAAATAAAAAATAGCCAGGCGTGGTAGCGCGTCTGTAGTTCCGGCTACTCGGAAGGCTGAGGTGGAAGGATTGCTGGAGCCCAGAAGGTTGACGCTGGGATGGCCGTGAGCGTGAGTGCTACTGCACCCCAGCCTGGGCGAAGGAGTGAGACTCCAACTCAAAAAAAAAAAGAAAAGCTTTAAAAACTTGTGATGAAGATACATTTGAGAGGGTCTGAATCCTAGGCTCTTTCAGACATGCATGGCACCATAAGTTAAACAAAGAAGAGTTTCCAATCCAAAGCACCTTACCTGCAGCAGCCAAATGGGCTGTTACCTCATCAGCGGCCGTGGAGTTGAGTATATCCGAGTCATCATAGGAGGTGTCTTCAGGGGAAGAAGGCGAGTCTTCATCAGCACTCAGCATACTGTGCTCAGTATAGGTGGCCACGTGAACCTGCTGTACTTGCTGGGCCACTGCGTGTGCTTCTATGGTAGCCATGTGTTCAGTCTGGGTCACTCCGTGTTCCTCCATGAAGATGCACTGTCAGACGAAAAAGGAAAAGAGCAGGATTGCAATGCTCAAACTGAGAGATTGTTTCCTCAAGAGCAGAGGAACTTTGATAAGCCCAACTGCACTACTTAGCTCATCATACTAAGTCACAGGAACTGGGAAGCAACATCAAATGACACAAAAATGGTGCCATATGTTCCTTATGTGAAATCATTTTGATGGAAATCGACTGTACTAATTTTATATCTTGGGTCACAAAACAATAAATATCCTTGATTATAAAAGGATATTCAGCAGGGCATGGTGGTTCATGCCTCAATCTCAGCACTTTGGGAGGCCAAGGAGGAAGGACTGCCTGAGCCCAGGGGTTCGAGACCAGCCTGGGTAACTTGGCGAAACCTTGTCTCTACAATAAATCAAAATATTAGCCGGGTGTGGTGGTACACACCTGCAGTTCCAGCTACTTGAAAGGCTGAGGTAGAAAGATCACCTTAGCCTAGCAAGTCAAGGCTATGGTGACCATGAGCATGCCACTGCACTCCATCCTGGGTGACAGTGATGCCAACTCAAAAAAATAAATAAATAGAGCTGGGCTCGGTGGCTCAGCCTATAATCCCGCGCCTTTGGGAGGCTGAGGTGAGTGGATTGCCTGAGCCCGCGGGTTCGATACCTGCCTGGGCAGTGAGACCTCATGTCTACAATAAATCAAAAAATCAGTCGGGCGTGGTAGCGCGTGCCTGTAATTTCGGCTACTCAGAAGGCTGAGGTAGAAGGATCGCTGGAGCCCAGCAGGTCGAGGCTGCGGTGGCTGGGAGCGGCCACTGTACTCCAGTCTGGGCGACCGAGACTCCAACTCAAAAATAAATAAATAAATAAATGTAAAAGGATATTAAAATACAATAAAAATACATTGTGGACATTAAAAAACTCAGTAAAAAAGTGAGATACTTAACATTTTGTCTGTATTTCAAAGACAAGTCAGAGTTAACCTGTGTCGCCCAAAAATTATAATTACTCAAATTGCTTTTTCTGCTTACAAAGCTATGCTTCTTGTAAACCCTGAAGTGACGCGGTAATATAAAGCAATATAAACCCTGAAGTGACGCGGTAATATAAAGCAATAGGTTAAAAGTTTGTTTTCCTCTTGCACCTATAACCTCCACTCCCCTGGTCCCAATATTCACCAATATTTTTTTTTAAAGAGAGAGAATATATAAATCTAGATTTAAAATAAAAACAGGTTCATATTACACATTTTTAAAATATTTTAATATAGCTAGACATGTTGACATGTCCAACGTATAGATCTACCATATCCTTTGTAAACAGCTGCCTAAGACTTCATTGTATGGATGTGCCATAATTTATGTAACCAGTCTCTTTGGTAGGCTAAGGCAAGAGGATTGCATGAGTCCAGGGGTTCGAGACCAGCCTGGGCAACTTGGTGGGACCTTGTCTCTACAATAAACCAAAAAACTTAGCCGGTCATGGTGGCGTGTGCCTGTAGTTCCAGCTACTTGGAAGGCTGAAGCAAAAGGATAGCCAGAGCCCAGCAGGGCGAGGCTACAGTGGTCGTGAGTGTGCCACTGCACTCCAGCCTGAGCGACAGTGAGACGCCAATGCAAAATAAAATAAAACAAAATTGTGTATTTATTCTTACATATTTAAACTTTAGTTCTCTTCAAAGTACTCTCCGTTTGATGTAACACAACTATCCAGGTGCATTTTCCACTGCTCAAAACAGTTTTTGAACTTATCAATGCTGATGCCTTTTAGTGCTTCTGCCATTTTTTGTTTCACTTCTTCCACATCAGCAAAATGTTTCCCTTGGAGAACTTTTTTCATCCAGGGAAACAAACAAACAAACAAAAAGTCATTCAGGGTGTGACTGAGTGAATAAGGAAGGTAATGCCATTTTTGGTCAAAAACTGCTGAACACTCAGCATGGTGTGAACAATTGTGCTCAGGTGTACTTGATAATCATCTATCATGAAATGGGCAAATGGTTCGTGATCCGCCTGGGCAGGTGAGACCTCATCTCTACAATAAATCAAAAAATTAGCCGGGCATGGTAGTGCGTGCCTGTAATTCCGGCGTATAAATCTAACAAAATATATACAAGATCTATATGAAGAAAATTACAAAATTCTGATGAAAGACTTTTTAAAAAACCTACATAGAGATTTCACATTCATGGGTAGGAAGACTCAATAACGTCAAGATGTCAGTTCCTCCAACTTGATTTCTAGATTCAACGTAATCCCAACCAAAATTCCAGCAAGTTATTTTGTTGTATTGACAAACTGATGCTAAAGTTTATATGAAGGGCCAAGAGACCCAGGATAGCCAACAGAATATTGAAGGAGAAGAACAATTGAGGGCTGACACTCTCCAACTTCAAGACTTCCTATATAGCTACACTAATCAAGACACTAGTATTGGTGAAATAAGACAGACAGATCGATGGAAAGGAGCAGAGAGCCCAGAAATAGACCTACACAAATATAGTCAAGCTGGGCTCAGTGGCTCAGCCTGTAATCCCACGCCTTTGGGAGGCTGAGGTGAGTGGATTGCCTGAGCCCGCGGGTTC